GGGAAATCTCGTCGAAAAGTTAAGTGACTTGTTTGGATACAATCTACATTAAAAATACGAGCGGCCTCGATGGGAATATCTGTTTAAATAAAAAATTTAATGTAGAATTCTCTCCAAAGTAAACAGGAGGTATTTGTTTCTAAAATGAAAAGCACACCGTTGTGCTTGTTAAAAAATGTCAACAATAAAGTAAATTAAGGGGAAAAGTGAGGCAATTATAATTAAAATTTTTTCAACTTTCGCATTTTTTATTCTGGGGGTTTCCGTGCCTTCATGTCGATGAAGAAGAATTCATCACAAGAAAATCCAGGAAAGATAAAGACTTTTTCAACTAACTCTAATTATCGACGGGGATAACGCAACCCTTGCTTTCTGGTTATGAAGTTCGGCCTTTGTGGAAATTTCAAGAAAAGAGGAAAGTTGGAATAAAAATAGATAAAAGAGGAGCGAGCTTTATCCGAAGAGGTTGGTATTCAAATAATAAACAAATACCACTCGGAAAAAACAACAAAAGCCCCACAAATTCTTTAAGGCTCACAAAAGATAGATAGAAGAAGTTAATTCATCAATCTTCGCAGCATAAATACTTTTGCGAATTCTACAAGAAGTTATAATCAGTAATCCGATGTAAATTATTAAAACAGAAAGCTTAGTTTTTTAATAAATGTTTGCTATTGATTTTTTGGCGTTATCGACGTTCTAAACGAGGTGATCAAAAAAGCGAAACTATTTGAATAAATATAAAGAGAGGATTCCCCGGTATGCCACCTTAATGTTTTGCTGACGAATTAGGAAGGCGTCATTTTGAAATTTCATATAGAGGAGATTGACATCTGGTTTTAAAAAACAAAAACAATTTTTCGCCCTCGGGACCTGCGCCCTACGTTAATTTCTCAAAGCTCTGCATTTCTTGGAATATTAACTGTGTCCCCCGTGGTTAAAACTCAAGTCATTCCAGTCAAATTATCCGTCGTTTTGCCCTCTTTTCCCCAATAACTGGTCAATTTTTGCCGCTCTCTGACTCACCATATCCGATGCATCGTTATTGCTTATGAAAATGCAATTACACGGTCGAGCGGCCTGCAGCCCGCTGTCCCAGAAATCCAATATAAATAAACCATTGATACAAATTGCTTTTATTCAGCTATCAAATTTGCATGATAATAACGGCATACCGCACCAAAACGTATTAATATGCATTAGATCAGGACTAATTATTCGGTTATTACGAAATATGCATCGAATCGGGGATTTTTCTTCACGCGTGGCACTTTACATAATGAAAATCACGAAATCGGCCCCGGGAGGCTCACTGTCGGCAGTAAAACAACAAAGACTCCTTTATTAGTTGATCAATTAGGCCATAAATCCAATTGAAAGGTCATTGTGACCAATAAAGAGCAATTTGCCTCAGCAGGACAAACAAGTCGTTTATCGGCCGAACGAATCAAACTTTCGAGTGCCGCCGCGGCCCTAAAATTTCTTTTACGGCCCGGGTGAAATACAGGCCGCCTGTAAAAGTATCGCCGAGTAATTACTCGATCTTACTTGTAGATAAATTGATGGATTAAAGGCGGCAACACCTCGCCGAAGCGACTGCCTTCGAATTTACATTTATATAGCTTATTCGAAATTTAAACTTAATCTATAAGACATTACATGGCAATTTTATTACTGCGTTAAATGACGCGGAAAGCAATGTAATGCAGAGTTATCAACTGAGCGCATTGTTTAGTTACACAGAAAAATCGCTGAGGCTCCGGGGCGGAGTCGCTCCGTTTCGCGAACTCCCATTGGACGGAAGTGTTTTGACAGGATTTTAATTAGCGCTCGTGTTAATTAAATGATTAGTTGGGACGATGGTGTAGTTTTGTCCTCGGAGCTCGTTAGTTTTAATTGCTTTTTCGCCCGAAATGGAAAATATGAGGGGGCGGCTGGCGCCGGCTCTGGAGGACAATAATTGCGAATAGAGACAGATATTTTCATCTGATAGATTTTTCTCCCGATAATATCTAACGCCGCCGTCTCCCCACGGCTCACTAAATACCACTCCGGTCGGTGTTGTTTCCGGAATTACACACAGACTTCCAACACCACATCGGGACCCAAATAGGCAAATATATCTATCCGTTCTATCATACTACACAAATTAAGTTGTGAAATAGATTTACAGAAAATCTGATCGAAATATGATCAGATTAGCTGAATTTATTACCGTTCTTAAACGCGACATTTTCATCCGGCGCCTTCTTAAACCGGCCGCTTTTATCTGATTTCCGTGTCGCGGGTGTGTGCAACGTGTTGTGCTCGTAAAATATAAATTAAAACTTGATTGAAGAATTTATAACAACAGTAAACACTTGACAGGATACGACGACTTTAATAACGCATGCCGGTGGAACTGCTTGGGCCTCCATGTAACATACGTGGCACCGGGAAATTACCGCCTAATTACCCTTCGGACGAAATTATCTCATAATCGCCGCCTCCATGCATTGCTATTTCTATTATTAACATTTCCATTGAACCCACCATAGATTGCATATTCCGCCCGGGATCCGCTTTGTAGAAATGATTGACACTAATTGGCGCCGGCAAGTTTAATTGTCTCCCGAGTGTCACCTAAATGAATCACTCCTCGGCAGCAACAGCACCAAGAACTGCCAGTCGCGACCATAAGCCAAGCAAATCTGGTCATTTTTGAAAAGTTTCTGCACAAAAAACACTTCATAGTTTATTGTCACTCCGGGGCGTTGCACTCAAGTAGTTGTCTTTAACTCATTAATTAGCAGTTAACTGAGTTATTCCACCCATTCAATCATAATACTGTCCACTAAATTAAATAACTCAAGCATAACCCTCGTATCTATGCTGCTGAAAAAGTTATCGGTCTTGAGGTGCTTTAGGGCGCAATTCTGGGGCCCTTGCTTTTCGTCATGTATGTCACCGATCATGGTTCTGTAGTTTCGGAGCCAAGAAAACGGACTTGGAAAGCTAACTTATCAACGGGAAATCTTCATTTTCGTATTCTGCGCGCTGTGGAACGCCAAGAAAGCCTGAAATTAAAGAGTCATCGAGTGACCCGATTCCAGTACTTGTATTACCAGGGATTCAACCACTGCCTTACAATCGGGGGGTGGTTCCGCCCCCGGCCGGAACAATTCCGGTTCGATTCCGGTGACCGGCGGCGGATTTTTTGCCCTTCTATTATTAACCCGTGAAAGCGAAATCCCAACAATGGCGGAGGAAGCTTTCACGTTTAAAAATTTTCTTTGTTGCTAGCGAAAGAGAAAAGAGTCGCCTAATTGGCCTATTTATAATTTAATCATGGCCGTTTTTTCTCCGCGATCCGATACCCCGTTTCGGGGCGGATTTAATTAAATTCACCCCGAAAATTGCTAGTCTATTAACGCACTATCGGAAAACGGCTCAGGCAGCCGAACAATGCTCAAGGAACGGACGATTTAAATTGCAAAATGGCAACGCTGCGCCAAAATGCACGGAGTATCTTGGTTTTTGCCCCGTCATGAATAGAAATGGGGGTTTTGTTTTGAAAGGCCGGGAAATGATTGGGAAATTACGAAAACATGTGGAATGTGTGGAAGCGGCAGGTCATTGACGTGCGGATCCAAAAATACAACCGGTGGTAGCGGATCACCCCGCTCATCGCACGGAGGTTTATTGGCGGCGCGAAATGTAGCCACCCTTGGCGTTACGCTCTGGTTATTTAAATTCGGTTAAAAATAATGCAGCGGACGACGTCGTCGTCCCTTTTGGTCACGACACAGAGGTTCGAGATCAATTGCTTGCTTTCGGTACGAATGAAAAATTAACAACTCCGTTTCTTTATTGTTACTAAAGCTATCGACGCAACTTTTCCGCAGCTAATTTCGTTAAAACTGTGCCACTTAATGCTGTTTTCCAACGGCCATCACTCACTCTCGCCCCGGTCCTCGTACGTGTTTCGCAACTGGGCGGCCGAGCAGTCGTTTTTAAATTATATTACCTTTCTCTGTTTGGTCGGTGTCTTCTAAATGTGATTTTCCGCGATTTCCAAATTATCTTTTCTTTTTGCGTCGCCCCTGCGTCGTCAGCGTGCAGGCATCGCATTAATTGCATTTCCTCGCTAAACCCATCAGATTATCCGTGCGCCGAGTTCATCCCTCGACCTCGTCGATCCAATTTGTCCAAGTTTTTAATATCAAGAGGGTGCATTCATAACTCGAGCCCACATCAGCAACGCAATCAGTGCATGCCGGTCCCAAAACTAGTCAAGTCCGGTCTCCTCGGGATTAGAGCCGGCCTTCCGTCCGTCCATGTCACCGCTCCGAATCAGATCAGCATAGATTGGATTTTTTGAGCACTGTTTGATTCGCGTTACGTGTTTAATGGTGGGGTGTCCCGGGCGATTATTTCCACCACCGGCAAATAGTCGCTGGTCGGAATCGCTTCGTCAAACTGTAATGCAATATTCCGTTCGTGTGTCGCACAGACGGCCGACGCAACCACCGTGAAATCATTTCAGCTCCCATTTACTTTCATCGCGGCCTTTTGTTCGGAATTATTCGACCAAGTTTAATTAGATTTGTTTAGAATTGCATCCTGAGACGTCACACCTCCAATACCGAACGAAAAACTATCACTACGCTCGAGGCGAGAGAACGGTGTAAATAAAAACTTTTAATTGAATTCGGTCGCGTTTGTCTTTTGCGGCTGCTGAAACAGACGCCCAACAGCCGGGAGGCGCAAAAAACACATTAAAATTCATATGCGACGCTGGGACCCGATGGGAAGTGCTTAGAGCTCGGAGCTCGTTAAACGCAAGGACCGCGAGTTTAGCCTTAGATCTAACTTACACAATTGTACAAGAAAGGGATCAGACTATTGACCTTCGCCTGTGCAAACATGCCCCCACGAAATGGCGGATGCGCCGGACCACTTCTCTACATACATGCACACAGTAGAGACATCGAAAATGACTCGACTACTTTTTTTTGCAGGCTGGCTCCAGGACTTCAGCAGACGCAGCTCTCCCAGCAGATGCCCGCCAGCAGCAACTCGTTGCAAGGGGCCCCTCAACAGTCGCCTCTGGTAATGCCGGTCTTCCCCCTTCGACCGGCCCAGTCGGCACATCCGCCACATTACTCGCCGTATTCCCCGTCCAGGTTCCACATCGACAAAAGATGTCAACACCGGTGCTCATGGAAATGCCTCAGCATCGGCCTGATCCTGCTGGCGGTCGCCCTAACCGCCATGTTGGCGTATTTCGCAGGTAGTTAAATGGTTTTACGGGCCTTTGTTGTCGCCGTGATTTGTTGTTACGTGCCGCACTGTAAATTTCAGGGATTGCCTCAGCCGTTTTATACCTAAACATAACCGTTAAAGGGGGCACATCGCGCCCCCCTATATTGCAAATATTGACGTAACGCGAGTCGCGCACTGTTCACCGTAATGCCAGAACGGTTTACTTTTATGGCGGAGGATGATGCGGATCAGCAATAAACATCAAGGGAAACCGCAACAAGTCACGAGGTGATCGGAATCGACGCAAAAAAATATAATTCTAACTACTACTTTGTTAAAATCTAAAGTATGCCGTCCTGGCATGTGTGACGTGAGGTGTTGCAGCCCAGCGTTTTAGCGCCTGCTGGTGTTGCCGCCCCGCTCGCGATTCCCCCTGAGCGTGCCGTCGAACTAAACCCATTAAAACTACACGAAACTTGTTTATAACCTCTAATGGCCATCGCTCACCCCGTTGCAGCTGTCAGTTCGATGAAACCGAACATGGATCCGTCGAACTGCATCCTAGTGCAAGACGTGAAAGACGTGACGCACGACCAGATGACACAGGGCTCCGTATCGACGCAGATGCCGACCGAAGGTACCATCCCGCCGACTGCGCCATTTCCGCGTCGAATTGAAATCTCGCTTTCAGAATCCCTCCCGACGAGCACCGCGGAGCATTCGAGCGCCACAACCCAGCACAGCTCGCTGCAGCCGCCGCAGCAACGCAGCCAACCGCAGACGCAATGGCCGCCGCTGCCCCTGCTCGAGCAGAGGGAGCTCAACGTGTTGCACACGGTCACGATACCGCCATATCAGTTCTGGAATTCCGAGTTCCGGAACAAACAGCCGGCATTTATCCGATTCAATTTCACACTGCCTTGGGGCGCCAACTTCGCCGTGTTCGGCCGGCGAAACGTCGCGCCTAGCGTGACGCAGTACGACTTCGTGGAGTTCATCAAGGGGGGGCGCTTGGACCACCGGCTGCGGCGGAAGCGGGAGGCCCCGGACGACGACGACGACGACGACGACGTGGCGCCGTTCAGGTTCGCGTACGAGAACAGAAACGCACGGACGGACGTCTTGGATAGCATCTCCAGCTCGTACGAGGGCACGAGGAAGATCCTGGCCGATTCGGAGCCGAAGGGGCCGTTCTACGTGCCGCACAGCATCAAGCTGGCTTATCCGGAGGACTTATCGACGGACCTGCCCCACCCCACCGTGGATCTGGGGGTGGCTATCGATGAGCACGTGATTGCGAAGCGGGAGGCCGATATGGAGCCGATGCTGGTGAACGTCAGCCTACTGCAATATTTGGACACGGGCCGCTGGTTCCTCTCGGTCTATAACGACGAGCTTCAGCCGCACAGCGTATCTCTGATCATTTCCGAAGCGGAGGGTGTCAGCACGACTTGTCCTAACGACTGTTCGGGGCGCGGATCCTGCTACCTGGGCAAGTGCGATTGCATCGACGGCTTTCAAGGGATCGACTGCTCCAAGAGTGAGTATTTACTTTATCTTACCGCTCTGTTCCCAATTCCATTACGAAGCTCTCGGACAAACAGAACCGCCATTAATAACGGGGACGGTTGACGACGCATCGATCGCTTCCGAACTTCTGCGATGCCTCCGCTTTAACAACAACAATATGATTTGTTTATCTTACCCGAAACAACAACAAAACCAAAAAAAGAAACACGCTCTGTTTGCCTACGATGAATCCTTACAACTAATCCTCCGGATGATATTTTCTTTTCTCGTCCTTCTACGCAGTAATTAATTCGTTGTGGTGATTCCGATGTTAATTCTCTTAGCGACAACCAAATTCCGCCTAAGTAAGTTCGGTCCCTATCCTGCAGACGCAATATCCATAACAGTAAAAATAAATGTAAATGTTTTTTGCGTAGGCGTTTGCCCGGTGCTCTGTTCCGGCCACGGCCAGTACGGCGGCGGCCTCTGCCACTGCGAGGAAGGTTGGAAGGGCGCCGAGTGCGACATCCCGGAGAGCGACTGTCGCGTCGCCGACTGCTCGGGCCACGGTCAGTGCGTGAGGGGCTCGTGCCACTGCAAGCCCGGATGGAAGGGCGAGACCTGCGACGAGCCCGACTGCGAAGATCCCACTTGTTCCGAGCACGGGGCTTGCGTCCACGGCCAGTGCTACTGCAAGGCCGGGTGGAAGGGTCCTCGGTGCGACGTCATCGACGAGCAGGTGCACAAATGCCTGCCGACCTGCTCCGACCACGGCGTGTACGACCTGGAATCGGCGAAATGCGTCTGCAACCGGCACTGGACCGGCCCCGACTGCTCCCAAGGTGCGAAAAACTCATATTGTTTTTAAGGCCGTTCGCGCCAACTGAATACCAATCTTCGAGATGAAAAAAGTTTCCCTGGGTCATTAAGCGACATAAAAACATCCAGCTGGCGTTCGCCGACTCCTCTTCTCACCCTCGACTTTTACGAGGCATTATATCGAACAGGCCATCGAAGAGGCGGCGTTAGGGCACCTTAATGTCTTTATGGTTTTCCCTAAATACGTCGAGTAATATTGGGTTCTTCCTTTCCAGCGTTGTGCAATTTGGACTGTGGGGCTCACGGTCGATGCGACTCGGGGAAGTGTCGTTGCGATCCCGGTTGGACCGGACCGAGATGCGAGCAGCTGCCCTGCGATCCGAGATGTCAGGAACACGGACAATGTAGGAACGGAACGTGCGTTTGTTCGCAGGGATGGAACGGACGCCACTGCACCCTCCGTGAGTACAACAACTTCGGAACCCTTTCTCCGAGGATTATGTGTTTGCGCTCGAAAACTAATTTACTTATCGCACACAGCTTCCTCATTCCCATTCTCACGCGCTAGCGCTACCTAACCGGAGAAATTAATACGTTCTCTACGTACAATTATCATTTCAGCGTGCTTCACGAAACGAGCTCTACTTTCCGACGTAATTGCTTTTGTATAGTGTGGAAGCTGCAGCGACCTCGCAATTTCTGACACTACAAACGCGACCTGACGATCTTTCATTGTCCTCCTTTTTTTTTTCAGCTGGATGCGAGAACGGATGTTCGGGCCACGGCCAGTGCACGCTCGAGGAAGGCCTCTACAAGTGCGTTTGTATCCAAGGATGGGCCGGATCCGATTGTAGTATTCCGCTGGAGATGAATTGCAACGACGACGTGGACAACGATCACGGTAAACTTTCCCTCCCCTTCTTATCTTCCTTTCCCGTCATAATTCCCTCTTTACTTTTCGCATTTGGGTTCTTTCAATTTTTCTCCGTCGTTCCCTTTCAATTCGTGCCTCCACCAACCGCTTTATTGATCAAACTCGCAAAATCGCATCACTTTTCCCGCTAACCCCTTTTCGCCTGCCTTCTCTTCCTCACTCACCTGCCTCTCTAATTTGCGGATGTTACCCTAAAAATGTTTCGCTTTGACGAATATAGAAGTTGTCGCGTATCGAAAATACCGGGATATTTTTAAATTCGGATTCGATGCAAAAAACACATTTGATACCCTTGTATCCTGTTTTATTGCCTGTCATGTGTGCGGGCTCTCGGACGTGACTTGCATCCCGGAGGCGGCGTGACACCCTGCACAAATCTGGTTACAACTGCCTCATGTTTATGTTGAAGCTACGATAGCGCTCGAGCGATGATTGATGACGTTATTATCGCGGGCTTTAAAGGAGGAAGGCCTTTTTTGCCCTAATGTCGTACGGATCTCAATTAAAATCGATATACTTGTTGAAATTTCGCGGATGTTTCGTCGCCATCCCACCGACTGCGCCTTAACTGGAGACGTCAGCACGAAACATCCGCGGTGCAGGGCGTCGGCCGCGATACAAGGGCGTCTGTCTTGTATGTTATGTATTCTGCACGTGTTGAACGATTTGTGTTGTTTGCCAGACGGGATGACGGATTGCTCGGACAGCGAGTGCTGCACGCACTCCAGCTGCACGGACCACATCATGTGTCTGTCGAGCAACGATCCCGTGGAGGTGTTACTGAGGAAGCAGCCGCCGTCGGTGACGGCGTCGTTCTACCAGCGCGTCAAGTTCCTCATCGAGGAGAACTCGGTCCAGTCGTACTCCCACATGGACGAATACACCGAGAGGTAAGTGGTCGGCGATGGCGCAGTGTGTCGAGTGATGTCTTAGAGCTTAAAGAGCAGAAATCTAGTCACGCAGACCATTCAAATGCGGCTCACAGGAAATCAGCTCTGCACGTTGAGTCGGAGGTCGGCGGACACTCGCTGGCCGCTTTGCTCGGGCACCGCACACCCCCAGCGGAGCCCTTTCCCCCCCGTCCGTAACCACCCCATCCGCCCGGCTCGCCCCGGGAGTTCATTTGTGTCTTGTCTTGTCTGAATCCCTGTGTGCGTCTCCCCGTCTCCGAAGCCCGAGTCTGTCGCTCAGATTGCGGACCACCGAGTCCGCTATTCGGCGCGATTTATACACCGCCGAGACCCTTGTTTTTTACTTAATTTTAAGATAATATATAAAATGATAGCTGATAGATGTTGGTTTTAAATTGACTGGTAATGTGTACGACCCATTAGCCCTAGGTACGTATCACGCCGGTGGCGGACACAAGTTGAGCAGCCAATGTTGTTTCACGTTTTTAGCCCGCTTCTAGACCATGTTTGCGTCCGTCCGTTTTCTTTATACATACATATATATGTTTGTTTGTTTGCTAGTAGACCTTTGCTAACTTGTGTCTGTCATTGTCTGTAGCTAAGAGTTTGTTCTGATTGTGTTGTGTCGTCACGGAAACGTGTGAGTGCGAGTGCGTCCGTCTCAAACATGTACCCGGGCCGCCGCTACGGAAGCGCCGCCACCCGTGCCGGTGGCGGCGTCCGTCGCGACGGCCCCCGCTTACGTAGTACGTGCAGCGACGCCCGGCCGACCCGAAAGTCGCCGTCGGCCCGCAGTCGCCGCAGAGTATTGCCGTGTGGTTAGTAATTGTCCTGTCTTCTGTGTCCCCTATGTCGCTGGTGCAACCTTCACTTGTAGCGAGTTCTGGAATTCCTTTACACCGCGGTAAGTGGCAGCATCTCCCCATGTTCTGTCTGTCTGTCTGTTCGTCTGTCCGTGTGCTGCCTGTAGCCTGCGCTCCCCACGTGCCACCATCCTCCATTTTGTTTTGTCCGACATTTTATGTACTCTCTACATGTTTGTTCATTTCATGCTTCGTTTTCATCCCGGGATCTCTTGCGGACTGAACTAACTAACTAACTAACCAACCAATCAAACCAACCTTGACAGGACAGACTTTCGCTTGTGTCTCCTCCGGCTCGAACAGCCCGTAAGAGGTCCATCTTTTTTTCTGTTGCATTGAATGTTTCAGCTCTTGTCTCTGTCGCTACGCCATTTGTGACTCGTCCACATTCATAATCATACCATGAATCAAAATCATGTCTCCCGAAGCTCGACACACACATCAAAATCATCATCGGCGTTTTATAAATTGCAATCGAACAAGGACTTTCGACTACCGACACGTTGTCCCGTTGCGATTTGTAGTGCGCTGGAATGAGAAACGGTGGCGCGGACACCAAAAACCGACGCGCGCGCGCCAACTGAGAAACAACATTGTACACGAATTGTTTTTTAAAAAAAAGTGAATAAGTAAGACGGATAAATGACGGCTCGGCCGAAGTCCCTCCTTTGTCTTCGTGTCATTGTCAGTTACCCGGGACCTCTGTGCAACCTGTCCTTTACACCCACCCAACACCAGTGCCCTCTATTGCATCGTTGCATTTTGATCGACCACCATATACACTCATACCGACCGGACGCGCCTGAACGGTCCTCTTTTTCCGGCGAACGCCACACCGTCTGCCTGATATTGAATTTGAATGTGGCTTTCGCCGCGAGGACCCGGTCGGCACGAAATTGAGAAACCCATTAAGACTTTGGTGTTATGGTACTTCGATGTTATAAATTTTTATTATTGAATTATTTTCATGATTACGTAGTGGTGGAACAATGCCTGCACATTGGACATCGTTGTTGTAATAATGAAGAGCGGCGACAATAAAATTGCTGCCCGACCGATTAATTCCACCTGTTCCATTTTATTGTGCTGTAAAATCATTATTGCAGCAAAACACAGCTTATATTTACGGCTTTTATCAATGCTGGGAACGGTGCATGATGAACATGTTCGGTCGATCGATACGGCTTGATCGATCGGGCGACGACGTAAAACGATCGGGTGCTTTGTAATAATTGGATATTTTAGCTACGAAACGACTTGACTTTGCACTCTCAAAGCTTGTGTTCTCATCTTTCCCTTTTTTTGAGATTGCGACGTCTCGGATCTGTTACGAGTACGACGTTTGCTTACCGGAATTTGTTGACAGCCGTGTAGCAGTAATGAGAGGTCAAGTTGTTACACCTCAAGGACTAGGAATTGTCGGAATAAGGGTTTCCGTCGATAGGGAGTCGAGGTTCGGATTCACTTTGACCAGACAAGGCGGATGGTGAGTTCTTGTGTTTCGTATGTATATATATATATGTATTGCGACGAGCGATGCGACGGTCTCTTTCTCTCTCGTTAAGGAAAGGACGATACGAAAATCGCATTAATGCCAAAGACGGAGTAACTCGAAAATTCTAAAAATAAAGCACGAGCAAAACGACTACAAGAGATCACTTTGTTTCTGTTCCTGAGCTTCTCCGGCACGTCGGAACTAAATCATGTCGGCTTAAGGGACGCTCTGCAAGTTATTGTTAGCATTTCTAATAGACTCTCGTGAATATCATACATATTTAAGGCCCCACCCCCCCATTAATTCGCGGATTTAGCTCCGACGATCGCCGGATGTACAAATCCTGCGAGTTTTTCCCGAATTAATTATGTACAGGCCGATCACGAAATTCCAAACAAGTCTCGACGCCCCGACATAACGATATTTATTGTTGCAGCTAATTGCCTCCTTCTGTTAATTAAATCGCATTTCCTATTAAAGGAAGCAATGTTTGATGATTAATTAATAAAGCGTACAAAGCGTTCTTCGGATTAGTTTGTCACGAGTTGTTATGCGTCGGAAAATTACAGCGAATCCATTACTTTGATGTGGCTCATTCCGCTGCTAAACTTCCACTGTTTGTACCGAAACCTACCGGGTGTTTGTTTATTTATCTAAAGCACCTCGCCGTCCGGGCGTTTTTGAGGGTCCGCGATCAAATTTAAAATGCTTTGATGCATTATTAAAGGTTATTCCTTTGCGCGAATTTGGTCGAAGCGGGGGCGGCTTTCAAAGGGTCAAAACGTGGGCCGGACCTTTGTTAATTGTGAAAAATTAATTAGCGCCCGTCGCACCGATCCTGATGGACTTTCCCGAAGCAAAAATAACGCGAGATAAATCGCTCGCTCTTAGAATTCACGGAATCCGCCCGTGCAATTAAACACATAATAAAATAAGGGCACGAGAATAGAACGCGGCAATAGTGCCGTTAATTAGGGAATGTCTTTCCGACCTTAACAGAAAGAGACTAACTCGCTCCGGGAAATCTAATTTCTTTAATAATTTAATTGTCCCAATCCCATGTCTTGCATTTTTAATGCGCCATTCCCGCGCCAGGTTCGACGTGCTCGTGAACGGGGGCGGCGCAGTCACCCTCCAGTTCCAAAGATCGCCCTTCAAGCCCCTAACGCGCACCGTCTTCGTCCCCTGGAACCAGATCGTCGTCCTCCCGCCCGTTCACATGCAGCTGAACGACGAATCCGACGTCTCCACCCTCCATGCCAGGTACCGACGACCCGATCGCAGAGGGACGCTCGGTCCATCTACGACCAAAGAATTTTATTTAAAATTCTTCGTGCGGTTAGATGGACCGAATAACTCGCAAAGTTGCGTCCCTCCGTCTCACCGTAGCCCCTAACTCGAACTTGTAAAGCTTCCTCAGCAGAAACCCCGCCATAAACTTTCCGGGCGTCTCCCGCTCCCTCTTCGGTTCGACCGGAGCCCTCCCGAGCACCTGCGACGACCACGATCCGGAACTACTGAAACCCGTAATCACCGGAACTTGGATGCCCGAAGCCGTCGGCGGTCTGCCCGGAAGGAGCGTCATTTTTGCCGAAACCCAGATCGTGCAAGAGAGTATTCCCATCCCGGGATCCGACCTGCATCTGATGTACCAAAGTTCGCAAGCTACGGGCTACTTGAGCACGATTTACATGCGTCTGACGGGGGATACGATCCCGACTACTTTGACCCACGTCCACGTGAGAGTGGAAGTGGAGGGATCGCTCCACGTCAAAACTTACGAGGCCGACCCGGACCTTTTGCACATTTTCGCTTGGAACAAGAGGAACGTGTACAAGCAGAAGGTGTACGGGATCGCGCAGGCGAAGGTGTCGATCGGGTACCAGCACTCGACGTGCATGGAGCCGATCTGGGAGACGCAGACGGCGGACTTGAAAGGGTTCGACGTGGACATTTCGGATATAGGAGGCTGGGGGTTGGACATACACCACCACTACAACTTCCACGAGGGGATTTTGCAGAAGGGGGACGGTTCGACGTTGCACTTCAAGCAGTATCCGAGGACGGTCAACGTGGTGATGGGGACGGGGTTGCAGAGGTCGCTGGACTGTCCCGGGCAGTGTGGAGGCCCGGCGAAAGACGCCAAGTTGTTGACGCCGGGATCGTTGGCCAGCGGGCCGGACGGGAGCATCTACGTGGGGGATTTCAATCTAGTGCGAAGAATCACTCCGGAGGGGAATGTCTACACGGTACTACAATTGAGGTGAGTCGGACAGTCGAGATGGGTAGATGGTAAAGTTGTTGTTGTCGCAGAGCCACGCAAGTCGCTTATCAATACTACTTGACTATATCCCCGGCCGATGGTCACTTGTACGTGTCCGATCCCGAGAAACACCAGATCCTCAAGGTCCTGTCCCTGGAGCCCGTGCAAGACCCCAGCATTAACAGCGAGCCGGTATGTAGTTCGGTCGGGTCGCCCCTCAAGTGACAGGTCAAATGCCGCAGGTTGTCGGGAACGGTGAGCGATGCATACCTGGGGACGATAGTCAATGCGGTGATGAAGGACCGGCGAAATATGCTCGTTTGGCTCATCCCAAAGGTCTGGCCATTGCCGCCGACAAAACTATGTATATCGCCGACGGGACCAACATCAGAGCAGTCGACCCCAAGGGGATAATTCACACGTTGATTGGTAATCACGGACACCATAACCACTGGAGTCCTATTCCGTGCCACGGAGCGCTCCCCGCTAATCAAGTAACCTCCGCAAACCCTCTATCTTCCACGGTTTGACTTTTACTTTGCAGGCGCAGCTACAGTGGCCCACGGGTTTGGCCCTCAGCCCTCTCGACGGCTCGCTTCACTTCGTCGACGACCGCCTAGTGCTCAAGCTCACCGCCGACATGAAAATCAAGGTCGTGGCAGGGACGCCCTTGCACTGCCACCGCGAGGACAACTCCACCAAAACGCAAACCGATGACGTGTTAGGGACCGTGCTTGCTCTAGCGTTTTCGCCGAACGGTGATTTCTACATCGCCGAATCCGACACTCGCAAAGTCAATTACGTGCGCTTGATCGACTCTTCCGGGAAGATTACCCATTTCGCTGGAAAAATCCAGGACCGGGCACGGAACAACTGCGACTGTTCGACTAACGCGACGACGGTGAGTCCTCGCAGTAGCGACCCTCCGCCGGCGTGCATTTGCGGCAACACGGACGAGACCACGAGCAACGCCGAGACGCTCTTGTCGTCGAACGCGAGGTTCCAGGCCATTTCGGCGCTGACCGTGTCTCCGGGGGGAGTGCTGCACGTGGCCGATCAAGGGTCGCTGCATATTCTGGCGCTCCAGCATTATTTACCGACGCATGACGAGAACGGGGAGTTTAGAATACCGTACCCGGCGGCCGGGGAGGTCTACGTTTTCAATCGATACGGTCAACATGTCGCCACCAAAGATCTGGCGTCGGACAAGACGCGCTATTCGTTCCTGTACTCGAAAAATACCAGTTTCGGGAAATTGTCCACTGTCACGGACAGCTCGGGGAATAAAATACAGTTCTTGAGGGATTACAGTAATGCCGTTAGTTCGATTGAAAACACACAGGATCATAAATCCGAGCTGAAAATATCAGGAGTGGGATATTTGGTTAAGTTGTCGGAAAAGGGGAGATCGGAGATCGAGTTGGACTACGACATGAATTCGGGGCTCCTCACGAGCCGGTCAGGGGTAAGTGTTCGCTGCGAGTCGTACAATGGTTTGACATTTTATTTTAGGGTGGAGAGACCTTCATCTACCAATACGACTGGATCGGGAGGGCGACGGGGGTGATCCTGTCGAGCGGAGAGTCCCTGGAACTGACGTCGAAGATCGCGGAAGACGAGGGGTTGGAAATAACGGTGAGCAAACCCCCGACGCAGCTAACCGTCACAGGCAAAGCGAACAAAAAAGTCATCATTATCGACGGTACGTATCACACTCCTCCCCCCCATCGACGTGACTTTATCGCTTTCGCTTCAGATTCCGAAGTCACGGAAGCCGTCACCCTCACCAACTCCACCGTTTCGGTGAACTCGGCTTGGGGCGGACGAATGGAGATAGCGGCGGTGGCGCGCCACCCCCTATTGGAGGTGTCGCTCCCCGTCGAAGCCGAGATGTTGCCCGTGTGGTCCGAGCAGACCACCGTCTTCGGCGAAGACAACCAGAACTTCATGTCGACCTCGTTCAGTCTCGTCGGGGACGTCCGCAACCCCCAACAAACCCTCAACCGGGAAATTTACGTCAACAATACGAAGATTCTCGGCATCGAATTCGACCAATTCACGAGTAAAGAGATATTTTATGACCACGACAAACTGCCACTATTGACAATAACGTACGACCCGGCGGGGTTACCATTAGCATACATTCCGCACAATGGTGCGGACACCCTCAACATATCATACGACACCTTCAACCGAATCGATTCGTGGAAATGGGGCGATAGCGAATTGAAATATAGCTACGACAGGCACGGATTGCTCTCGGAGATCACGAGCAGTCTGGACGGGACGCAAATGTTCACTTACAACGATTGGAATATGCTGTCGAAGATCACTCTGGCGAGCCAGAGGAGCTTCTCGTTGTCGTACGACGACGACGGGGGGCTGCGGCACGTGACTCTACCGAGCGGGACCAAGCACTCTTTCAGTTTACAACCGTCTTTGGGCTTCTTGCGGGTTACGTACACGCCCCCGGGCAGCGTGAGGGCCTACTTGCAGCACTTCTCCCATTCGGGGCGACTGCTCCAGACCGTGTTCCCGGGAGAAGGGGCTAGGGTGGTGTACAGGTACAACACGAACGGCAGATTGAGGGAGGTCGTGCACGGCGACGGCAAAACCCTGTACCACTACTCGGAAACTTCCGGTCTACCGAGCCAGATTTCTCACGTGGAACCCGATTTGGAGTACCGCTGGGACTACCAGTTCATCGGCGGGTTACTCATGGAGGAGAGGATTGATTTTGGTGCCAAAACTGGACTGAGCAACGCCAAATTCACCTACGACTATGACAATAACTATAGATTGATAGCGGCGCAAGGACGGATAGGGGGGCAGAACTTGCCGCAGTACAATCTGGCGTACAATTCTAAAACGGGAGCGTTGGAGATGATAGGGTTGTTCAAGATCAACAAGCCGAAGACTAACGAGACTCAGGTTTACGACGGGACGGCTTTGTTTTCGAGGAGTATCAGCTCGAGGTTTTTGGAGACTCAAGTGGCGTTGACCATACACGGAATGGAGGTGTTCAGGATGGAGTTCAGTCATGACATGCATGGGAGAATTTCGCAGACTAGGACTTACACGAGGAACGTCGGCGTTAATCCGTACACGAACATCAAGAATTACACTTGGGATTGCGACGGGCAGTTGTTGGGAGTGGAGGCACAGGAGCCTTGGGGGTTCAGATACGACGACAACGGGAATATGTTGTCGCTGACGTACAGGTATGGTGTAAATTAATTAAACCGGATTAAATCCTACTTGCTGCGCCGTTTTAGAGGAAACACTATCCCCATGGAATATAACGCGATGGACCGGATTATCAAATTCGGCGAAGGTCAATACAAGTACGACAGTAGAGGCCTGGTGGTCCAAAATGCCCGCGAAGAGAAATTCCACTACAACGCCAAAGGACTTTTAGTGAGAGCCACCAAAAGAGGGCGTTTCGACGTAAGATATTTCTACGACCATATGGACAGGTGCGTATGACTCAAAATAAGGTAAGATAAATTAACAACAGAGGTCACAGATTATCGGCCCGCAAGGACAACTACGGAAACGTCACCCAGTTCTTCTACAACAACGAATATCGCCCGCGGGAAGTCAGCCAGATTTACTCACCACGTGACGGCAAACTTATGTCTTTAGTGTACGACGACAGAGGTCACTTGATTTACGCCCAAGTCTACCGACACAAGTACTACGTAGCGACCGACCAATGCGGTACTCCGGTCATGATTTTCAACCAGTACGGTGAAGGAATTCGGGAGATCATGAGGTCCCCGTACGGTCACATCGTTTACGATTCGAATCCGTACCTTTACTTACCGGTGGACTTCTGCGGCGGGCTCTTGGACCAGGTAATACCTATTTTTCCCCCACGACCCGTCTCTAGATTAAATTTCAGGTCACCTCGTTGGTCCACATGCCTAATGGAAAAGTCTACGACCCGCTAATCGGACAGTGGATGTCCCCCCTGTGGGAAGACGTCCTCGAGCGAGTCGCCACTCCCACCCAACTCCACTTGTACCGCTTCAACGGAAACGACCCCATCAACATGGGAGTAGAACGCAACAGACCCACAGGTACATATTTAGTCCGGAATTTCAAGCCCAACTAACTCTTGTTTGTAGATCACCTCGACTGGCTCGAGAAAATCGGTTACGACCTCCAGAGTCTCGCCCCTCAGCTCTTCCCCGATGCTCTTCCAGGCGGCCGAATGCCCCCTCTTCTCACCCAACCGGGAACCTTCTGGAATCCGTCCAAAGAAACCATAAGTAGCCAACTCACCATGCACTCGAGTTCCACCGACATCCAATCAGGCTTCCTCGCACACTTGAACACTCGCAAAATGACAACGGCCAAAGATCTGTCAGCCCCTTCGAAATCCGCACTCAAGACGGACGTCATGGATTTGATCCCGAAGAAAATCGGGGCGGCTTCGGATCCTCCGTTCGGACGAGGGATTCTGGTGTCTAAGACTTCGCAAGGTCAAGCGATCGTGTCTAGCGTTCCGGCCGCCAACGCCATCTACAGGGACGTGTACACTTCAGTCTTCAATAGATCGTATCTTCTTCCTTTCACTTTCGTGGTTCACAGCGCTCAGCAGGATGCGTTCTACTTTGTCAAGGAGGAGACGTGGAAGGCGAACGACGATAAAGGACAGTTGAAGAGGTTGCAAGGGCAAGTCAACACCACGTTCCACGAAATAGCCAAAGAAAACGGGAGCGGGAATAACTACTTCGACGTGAAAATTCACGGTGCGAACGCCGTGGTTAATCTGAGGTATGGGACGACTATGGAGAAGGAGAAGCAAAGGTTGCTGCACCACGCGAAGCTTTCGGCTATACGAAAAGCTTGGCACAAGGAGAAGGAAGCTTTGAAGAGTGGATTTTCGGGAACGGTGGAGTGGTCGTCGGGGGAAGTGGAAGAACTGATGAAATTGGGCTACGTTTCGACGTACGAGGGCGATTACATTCACGACGTATTGTTGTACCCGGAATTGGCGGAGGATCCTTACAATGTTAAGTTCACGAAGAAACAGAGCGACTCGTCGAAGAAAAGGCGAAGAAAACGGGAGGCGAAGAAAAGCTGTCAGGATAGATGGTGGTTTTCGTGGAGCGAAGTATGCTAGTGACCAGATAAAGACAAAGTGAAACTATATTCAATTAACTAAGTGTGATGTACCAAGAATTAAGCTTACATGATAATGTGAGACATTTTATACCAATACCAAAGTCTATTTGTGTATGTACTTCAAAGATGCCAAAATGTATATTATTTATTTACGATATGTTACCTATATGTATGTGATTTGAGGTGGTTGGTGGGACTCGGTTCGCCGAAACGATTTTTTTTATAACTTTTGAAACATGACTGACTGTTGGAGCGGCCGAGTCGCGCCGAACCGAAGAGTGTAAATATTTGCATAAATACTATTAGATTTAAAGATGAAGATGAAGAAACACAGTTTCGGAACAGCATAGAAACGGTATTAATACAACTTAGAGCTTTAAATAGCCCGATATTCGAATGATCGATGAGCCATTAGAACAGAGGTATCAGAATAAATTTGTAAATATAGTCCAGTTATTACCTTTTTAATAATTTTAAAATTAAATGAACGAATTTATCTTAGATAGGCAAAGAAAAAATGAAAATCATTGATATGTATGTTGTGTTGCTTTACTTAATAATTATAAGATATCATTGTGACTGATCTATGTTCATGATAGTAAAGCAAACCTTATCCGCTATGTACCTTGCAGTCTTCTCACCACATCTCACCAGATCTTCTAATTTTGTTACCAAAACGACGAAACTATACTGAAACGATATATATATTTTTACTCCGCCTGCCAGTGTAGTATATTTTGTGTGCTGTTGTTATTACTGGATATTTCTACACAAAATGTACTAATTTAATGTCGATATATGTTGTCTACAGACTGTCATAACTCGCTGGAACATCATTGTGTTGTTACAACGCTGTTTATTATACACTCGATTTATATTCAAGATATTTATTTGTACAGTAGCTTTATTTGTCCATCGCTAAATGAATTTATATTTTCATTTAATGGAATCATCTAAGTATTATAAATGTTTTTGAAATAAAGAACTTGTTTTTTACGCGGGCGCATCATTTCGAAAGTCCCGCCACAACGGGTGCGCGCGCACGCAACGACCGCCTAGATTTGAGGTTATGTAAACAAAATGAAACAAAAACTTCGTACTTGAAAATTTATATTAACAAAATTATCTACTTATACAAGACGCTTAATAGTAAATATTAAAAAATGTAACTCACCCAAAAATTAAGTATAACTAAATGAATTAGTGAATACACAACGCAAACCTCACTCACAAGAACCTCTCTCTCTCTCTCTCTCACACACAAGAAAAGAAAATACTCGTACAGGATTCAATAAAAAGGGGCTTCAGTTTTGGAATACAGTATAAATAATTTTCGGGAGTTGATAAAACTTAGTTTGAACGCGTCACAGTCTACAAACGATCACTTACTCCTTGGGCGTTCCTAGGACCAGAACTTTGAAAAATAAAATCGTGACTTATTAAAAAAAAACAACAACAAATTGATGAGGATCCAGGAATACTAGCTAGGAGTAAGAATGAAAGGCGACGTTTTGATGTAAATTTATTTAAATAACAAAGAAATTAGGAATTCATAGATCGCATAATTTATACACTATCAATAATTTCTACATTGCTGAGAATCATTGCATTTTTTCCGTCAACTAAACCGTGAATGATTATAACTGCACATGACGTAAATAAATAAGTGTATCGATAAATACAAGTCTAGTGATTATTCATTAAGTTAGGTATTTACAAAATAACTCGAAAGTTGTCTCGCAGTTCTAAAATTTTTGTCAATCGTTAGCCAAATTATAAAATCGATCTGACTAGCCAACTTTCGAGCCTCATGTACAAACTGGTATCATATTTTGAACACATTTACCACTGTACTTGCGGTAGTGGATTGGTATGGCCCTGGTTTAAAAAAATACATAAATCTTTTCTACTTAGTTCCACGATATTGCTAATTTGACAAAATGAGGTATGTTCTGAAACGCGAGCGGAATCACTTGTTTCAATACTGTTGTGCTTGAAATGATCTAAGGCTACATTTTCGAACACTTTTGCGAGTCGGTAACGAAAGAATCCCTGTTGAATGACCAGAGCCACTATCATACAGTTAACGGTAAATCATAGGAAACATGTATACATATGTGGTTACTCGCTATAATTAATCATTAATATTTAAATACTAGGCATAAATTACTTTATCCTTCATTTTTAACTTAATTCCTAATAAATCTCGTGACCCTCTCTTGCCTCCCTATCTGCCACAGAACAGAAACATTCGATTGGTGATCCGCGTGTCACAACAGAGCGTCAGTGCCCCAAGTCTGTTGTTCGTTCGTCCTCGAAAGTCCCAGAATCCACCGAAGCACGTAAGTCACACATCATCACTGTAAAGATCGCTAACAGTATCTCATTAAACCTAAAATTAACCAAAAACAAAACCAACAATCACAATTCACTAGAATCCCGCTCTTTCTTCCTCCTCACACCGTACGAAAAACGAATTATGACTACATATTGTTCGAAGAAACAAAACCCTCGAGTCCGCGTCGTTCAATGTATTGCGACCGAATTATGCTGCACGCAGACGCCGACCATGGGACTGTCGTCTCTGTCGCTCTGCTTGGCCTGCTGAGGTCCGTTAGCCGTTGTACTGCTGTTGTGTTTGGGGGCGCTGCCGTCGGTCATCGGCCCCGGGTACGGGGCGTACTGCAAAGACGTCGGTCCGTAGCTTATCATAGGGGCCTGGTGGTAGCGCTGCCTGTGGGGATGCCGCGACGGTGACGGGTCGCACTCCATCGTCGTATAGCCGCCGCCGCTCTGCTGCTGCTGCTGCTGCTGCTGCTGCTGGTAGCTGCTGTGACTCGACAGCTCTCTCGACCGTCCCACCAAATTTAACCCTGCAACGCACACGTTCGCATGTGAATGGGGGCGGACGCGGGGGCGGCGCACACAGACAATGCTACACCTAACCTAGCCTAGCCTATCTACACAGGCCCCGGCAGAACTGGAACCCGAAAGCGCAACGGACACCCGATTCCTCGATATTAACGCTCATTAACCTTTCAACTCGTTAAGTACTTCTGTCGCTTCTTTCATTAATCAGCAAACCAAAAATAAACGAGATCGGCTAAAAATAGAACGAGGATAACAATGCAACGACTATTATTATTCTCTCGGATCGCTCTTCCGCCGACGGCCGACTCTCGTTGCGTCACCTTTTAAGTACACTTAACTCTGTCAACAATCGACTTAAAGAGGAGCGGGGCTAAATTCGACCCTAAGCTCACTGGCGAACTTTTTCGCGAGATTTAAACAACGACGGCGGTTAAAAAATACATAGAAACGAAGAATTCTCGTTCGGGCGAATCTCAAAAAAGCAATTTCTCTTTCCCCTTTTTTTAAATCATTTGTCTGGTTGAAAGCGAAGTATCTAGATTTAAATCAGAAACAACTTTCACATGTCCGATAAGCACAGCATAATTAAACGTACGCATGTTAAACAATTTTTTGTTTCTTGTAAATCATGTCTACGTGATTTATTCTTATAAAAGCAGTATAACAGCTTATTACACTTTTTTAACTGCCCAACACGAACCTCCTACTGATATATAGAAACCTTTAAAAACATTCTCACTGATAAGAAAGCACGTTCACGAAGGTTGTGAAAATGTTCAAAATTTGTGTAAACTTGCGTCTGCCCTGATTATAAATATTATCCTATTGGCAACTGCTATACTTTCAGGTTTTATACAGAGCTTTTATAAATAATTCGTCCATCCGAGTAGGCACTCATTTCTCTCCGAATGTAGTACTAACTATAACTGCAATGAAACTTTAAACGTCATAATTATTCTGACAGGTGACATTAACCACATCAGATATAACATTTGCAAATTTCACCAGTCAGGTCAATAATTATGAAAATCCTGTATGATTTTTTTCAACGAAGGTATGGTAGATAATGAATTTCAATAATTATATTATTCTAAGGGGCGTCTGAAAGGCCAAAATTTTAATTCATACAAAAATATTTGGATTCGGGCACCGGTGCTGTTGTATACCACGGCTATTAGCGCCTCTGAAAAACTTCAATTTCCAGGTGGGCGAATCCGCTCCTGTCCGTGGTGAGATCTTGTCTTTGAAGCAATTTGAAAAAATCTCGGGGCCTTGTGTATGGTTTTTGAAGTAGTTCGAAAAAATCCCCAAGACCCCTTTTATTTTGTTTTTGAAGTAGCTTGAAAGAATCTCGGAGGCCTCTTGTGTCTTGGTTTTGAAGTAGTTTGACAGAAATTCGGGGACCCCTTGTATCTAGTTTTGAAGTAGTTTAAAAAAAATCTCAAAGTCCCCTTTTATTTTGGTTTCGTAGTTTAAATCTAGGGGTCCCTTGTGCCTGGTTTTTGAAGTACCTAGTTTGAAATAATCTCGGAGACCCCTTTTGTGTTGTCCTTGAAGTCGTTTTCTATAATCTCGGAGACTCCTTGTGTCTGATTTTTGAAGTAATTTAAAAGGATCTCAGGGATGTCTTGTATTGTTTTCGAAGTAATTTTAAAAAACCTCGGGTACCCCTTGTGTCTGGTTTTTAAAGTAGTTTGAAAGAATCTCGGTGACCACTTTTGTGTTGATTTTGAAGTGGTTCGAAAGAATCTCGGGGAACCCTTATGTCTGGTTTTTGAAGTATTTTGAAAGTATCTCTTGGACCCCTTAGATTTTGTTTTTGAAGTAGTTTCATCAAAGAATCTCGGGTACCTCTTGTGTATGTTTTTTGAAGTAATTTGAAAGAATCTTGAGTACCTCTTGTGTCGGGTTTTTGAACTAGTTTGAAAGAATCTCTGGAACTCATTTTGTGTTGATTTTGAAGTAGTTTGAAAGAATCTCGCTGACCCCTTTCATTTTATTTTTGAAGTAATTTGAAAAAATCTCGGTTAACCCTTGTATCTGGTTTTTGAAGTAATTTGAAAGTATCTCGGGTATCCCTTGTGTCTAGTGTTTGAAGTAGATTAAAAGAATTTCGGGGACCTTTTGTGTCTTGTTTTTTTAAATAGTTTGAATGACTCGCGGGGCTCATGTATGGTTTTTGAAGTAAATAGTTTTAAAGAATCTCGTGGTGTCCTGTTGTTTTGTTTTTGAAGTAATTAGAAAAGATTTCGAGGACACAATGTGTCTACTTTTTAAGCAATTTGAAAAAACCTCGTGATCAGGGGCGAAAGAAACCTGCTTAACTAACGCGGAAAAAATTTGGAACTAGAAGACCGAAATTTTACTTAATTTAAAAAATTCCCGATTTCCGGATCCTACTAGTGCGATAACAGTACAACTCTTATTATCGCACTAGTAGGATAATATATCCATTACAAAACTCAAATTTGTGGGATAAAAGCATTATTGTCGAAAAGCATGAAGCTTGCCCACAAAAACTATATGATTGCCACAAAAAGTGGTAACTGTGGTGTCAAACGCGGAAACATACACAACATACAAAAAAAAAATGTGGAAAAAGACAGTTTTTGAGTTCGCTATTTTTTTTTTTTTTTAATTATTACACGTCTACAGAAAATTAATAACCCATTTAAAGACGAACAGGTGGATTTTTAATAATTAAAAAAAAATGTGACGACTACTACACAGCCGATGGCATCTTTCACCGCCCGTCGACCTAATCTCCGTTCCTCAGCTTTCGCCGCTTCCAGTTCCGCCCTCGCATTGCAAAACAAAAACGATGCAAGTGCTAACGAAAAAAATGATCAACTAATATCAATACCTGTGTTAGTAAGAGCAGTTACGGTTCGGCACCGTATCACTATGTTAGTCATCGTTGATTTCCCGTAACGTCTGCACACATACAAAAATTAAAATTACGATCTCACTCTTACCAATTGCAAGAATCGCATGGTCGTGACGAATGACAGAAACAAAAACAACCACAAGCATAAGACGCGCAACGAAAATGCAAAAGAACACAAATCGTCTCATCGAAGCGATGAGTCTGTCATCGGAAAGGTAGTGGGGGGACGCCGGTGGCGCCCAACGTACCGTGTTGACTACTCGAACTATTCGTGATGGACATGTCCAACGACGCCACAGCCGGACTCGAACTGTTACTGTTAGGCGTTGAGGTGCACTCGTCCGTGGTCCGTTTAAAAAAATTATGTTGGAGAGCGTAGTACGACGTTATCCTGGATTTCGGATCGTAATCAAGCATGCGTAAAATCAGATCCTTGAACTTGAGATATTCAGCCGTCGAATGGCCCGGCTCGCCGGCCCTTCGGCCGCCGGGACCGCCGGTATCCACGCCGAGGATATCGTGGAGTCGCCGCGTTCCTGGAAGCTTGTACTTCTTGCCGTCCTTTGACTTCTTGAGTACGTATCTGCAACAGGGGAAAGTTAGCGGTGGTACGGCGACAACTTAAATGAGGTATTATGACATTCCAGATCGCGAAATTGTGAGCTTATCAGACTGTGGCAAAATTACATACAATTCTTTTCTTATTGAAAAATCTGTCTCGTTATTTATCGTTAAACTGTGTACAATATTGTTGGAGCCAAACGCACAAACTATCATGAAGTTTTTTACGAAATTTATTTAAATTCTTTCAATATTTCTTTTTAATTTAAATTATAACCTTAAACAAATGAATATACATGCAAATCTGCAAATTTTTCTTTTACCACGATGACCTTCAATATCAAAATAAACTTAATAAAAATTCCCTAGTTCAGAACCGGAACTAAACATACCTGACACATAAAATTCGGACAATTATGAGTAACATATTACCTAAAAGCGAAAAAAGGGTTCAAGTTGGCTAAAAAGTCGGGCCAAGTCAGGTCAGGTCAGGTTAAGTCGGGTCAACTTAAATCAAGTCGTGTTAAGCTAGGTGATGCTAAATCAGGTCATGTTGAAAATGCAACGATCGAAGGCAAAATCTTACAAATCCGTGGCTGTTTTTTTTTTATTAAATTACAAAATTTGATTTTACGATTTTCGTTTTGTGATAACCGCTGTAAAGAACCAGAGACATAAATAACGCCCCTTGTCCTTCAGCAATAGGCAATAGCAATCTGAAGCTCAAGTGTTTATTTATGTTTATACATCGAATTAATGTCACATAGAAGTTAGTTTGATTTGAATGAGATTGTCTTCTCAAAGCAGAACTAAAATTATAAATTAAACCACAATCGAACAAAATGTTTGAATATTATAATGCTTATTTTATCATTATTATATAAAGATGTGGGTATTTTTCACATTTTCGGGTTAATTTCGTTCTTAATTTGACCAATAAACAATTTGTAATGACGTCAACATGGATAATTCGAGTCACAGCATAAAAAAAGGGCCACGTTCGGGATCGAACCACAACCGCAGTACAGCAGGTGGTCATTATCTCCGCTACACCCACTGCGCCACGGAGACGTTCGCACCATGTCGGGAATAAAACGTTATTATACCTTGCAAATGTTTTTGCGAAAATTCGAACGTTTAGCGAAAAAACTGAAAGTGGATTAGTACATTACAAGTATACGAATATATTTTTGTGTAACATTCAAATTATTTTAGAATAACATTCATTGAAATGACGACATTAAATTGTTGGTGCGAATGATTAGCCAAATTTTGGTTAGCATTTAAACATCTACATGATATTTCTAATATACATATACAAAATTTGACAACAGTCAGTCCAGCAGTTTCGGAGATTATATGTCTAATAAAAATGGATACAGACAGACAGACAGACAGGCGAAAACAGGAGACTACTTTTTTCGTACTAAAGGGGTCATGAAACGTCGAGAAAACATAAAAGTGGCCATTCGTCCGATGGAGCTGTAAATTATACAACGAAAACGAAAAACAGTTGGAAGAGTTTTATAAGTAGAGTAGGAATACTTTGAGAACAGTAGCAGTAGACGTAAAATCGGACGGGTCCACTTACGAATTTAGGGGGAGGAAACTGTACTGATCCCGTCGTTATATTTTTTTATTTCGCCAACGTAAGTTGGAGAATCCATCGACCGATTTGCTCTAAATGCCGTCTAAATCTAATCTCTAAAACTACTGGAGCGACTGTAATAAAATTTAAGTGTATGCTAGGAGTATCGTATATATGATAAAAAGCAAACCAAAATTTGTCCAATCATCTCCAGCAACAATCTGATGACGGTCCCCACAAAAAAATTTTAGTAGTCTTCTAAATTCTATAAAATAACATACTCCTCTACTTGTAGTTAATGAATCTACCTCGACTTTGTTAATTATTATGATGTGCGTGGATCGATGCCGACAGGCTGCATTTTTTTTTTATTGATCAAATCAAGACTAATTTATCCTGCTTTAGTATTAGATTTCTTTTTTTTTTTTTGTTTCATTTTCTTAATTTTATATCAGTTTTTCGTTTTTTTATTCTATTTATTTTTTCAATATTTCTTTCGATTTTGTAATTTTTCGTTTATTCAGTTTTTCAAATTTTTCATCTTAAATTTTTGGATTCCCAGTTATACGAATTTTTGATTTCTTTTCCATTTTACAATAAATATTGTTTTTATTTTGCACTTTTTCGACTTTTAAATGTCTCAATTTTAATTTTCCAATTTTTAGGATTCTCAAAGTTTTCATTTTATACATTTTCGTTCTCTCATTTTTGATTTTTTAATTTTACAATTTTGCAATTTTTCCATTTTTTTAATTCGAAAAGTTGAAAAATCGAAAAATTGCAAAATCGAAAAGTGGAAAATCGAAAAATTGTAGAATCGATAAACTGAAAAATAAAAAAATCAAATATGTATATGAAAAAGATTAAAAATCCGATAATTGAAAAATGGAACATTTCTAAAATCGTAAAAATGAAAAAGTGGACCATTTTAAAAACCATAATTATTATTACACATTTAAAATGAAAACTACAAAAATTCCAAATCCAAAACTGAAGAACCGAAACACTGAAAAATCTGAAATTGAGAAATTAAAAAAGATTTCACATTGAAAAGAAGGAATATTATCGAATCAGAACTGAAAAAATGAAAATAAAAAACCGAAAAAAAAATTGCAAATCGAAAAACTGACAAATCATGTTTTTAATGTATCGATTTGTAATTTTTCAATTTTTATTTTTTTTTTTTGTTTCTTTAATTGCTAGATTTTGCAATTTTTCGATTTAAAATTTATCGAGTTTTCAAATTGTTGAAGACGTCAACACAAAATTTTGTTGACGTCACCTCACTTGAAACGTGCGGTAAAAACAATATTTTTTAATTTTTACTTCCTTAGCTCCTTTCATATTTTCTCGACGTTTCGTGACCCCCAAGAGTACGAACCAATATGCCTTCCGTTTCCGTCCGACTGTCCGCCGTCTACCCGGATTTTTATTACGGTAACTACGGCGCAAAACGCTAACCAAATTTTGTCTTATCATCCCCACCAAACACTGTAATCACGTCATTTTAAAATTTTGTGTAACCAACACCTATTAAATTTTTTAAATACTCCTGTACTTGTATAATAACACAAAAGCCACTTCGATGTTGTTTATTAGTATTTTATATTGATTAAATCTTCTTCTTTCACCACTGAATAGGTAAGCCTAATTAATCGAATTATAGAGGCGTTCTATTTTTTTAATGATCAAATCAAGAACGGTACACCCAATTTTCGCGACAATTTGGAAGTATAATACTGAATTGACACGTTTCTTGCCGAAATGTTGCTAGGAATTTTAAACGTGCTTAATCGTCGAACTCTTTCAATGTATAAATATAAACAGTCGAAGTTAAGCGTGGATTGATATGTTTTCTCGTTGTTTCGAGAGTACTTCGGACGCGAAATTTATCACCGACTAGTATCTAAAAATGTAGCATCTTTTCCCATTTCCATGTAAATAACTACGTTTTGCAATATTGCAAACGATTTTGTCGGACACGATTGTATCTTGCCAATGTCAGAACAACCATAAATAAAATGGATGCAATTCTTTATACACACAAGAACCGGTTAATTCACAATGCATCTAGAACAGATAAGTGTCTCGCCAGATGTCGAATTAAATATTAAAATAAATTATTTTCATGCCATACCAAAACCAATTTACTTTGGTAAGTGAGTTTTTTTTTACTAAGCGCACTTTTGAAATCTTCCCGTTTCGTAAAAAACACATTTCGGTTTTTTTCCAAATCGACCACAACGATTCACAGCTGGCACACGATTTTCAAGTGCAATATTTTGAGGAATGCGGAAATGTAACTTTGTTGTTACATAATGTTCCCTCCCCCGATAGCAAACATATAAAACGCCTACAAATAAGCATGACTAACACGAAGTCTCACTTCTCTCACATGTCACGGTAACTACATTTAAAGATAATTAGCATTTCGTACGTAAATTTTATCATCGGTATAATTCGACACGAGGAAAAAACTGAAACGTCTGAAGAGTGTCGTTATTATTAAATCGTGTGGTGAAAAACACTACAATCTTCCAATACACTTACGCTTAGCAATTTAATAAACCCCATTCTCACCTCCCGTCTCCTGGCAGTTTCTCGAAAAATTTCCTCGTCTTATTCGCTTGATCCAACAGACTCTTCGGCGGCATGCCCAACACCTCGACTATCTTATTCATTTGATCGACCTCGTTCGCTCCACTGAATAGCGGCTCCCCCGTGTGCATCTCCACCAGTATGCACCCCAAGGACCACATGTCTATCGCTAAATCGTACGGTATGCCCAACAATACTTCCGGCGACCTATAAAACCTCGACTGGATGTACTGGTATATCTGTAAAAAACAAAACCAAAAAAAAATCATCATCCCCGACTCCCGCCTCCTCCTCATTACCCTCTGCCCTAGCTGGCAAGAACTCCCAAAATCGACGATTTTTATTGCCGAACGTTTCGGATTGCACAACAGAATATTCTCAGGCTTCAGATCGCAGTGGATGATATTCAGTTCGGGCGTCGAAAGGAACAATAGGGCCGTGCACAGTTGCTGGGCGAACTTTCTTGTGAGATTCAACGAGACGCCGCGGAAGTTCGTGTTCCTCAACAGATCATACAGGTTATACGAGAGCAGTTCGAACACCAGACACAGGTGGTTCCGCCACATGAAGTGCCGCTTTAATTTAACTGCAAAAGGAACGGTATAAAAAAACGCACGAAAAACGGACAGCCGAAGGGACAAGGTACCACGTAACGTCATTGTCCCTTCGGCACTCCGTTACACAGGTCCACCATTACCTATATAATACTTATTTTCGGCGTCCGCCCTATTCATCATCTCCAACAACTTCACCTCGATCTGGGCCTGGTTGAGGAAGGGTTTCTTGTTCTTGATGATTTTGATCGCCACGTGGCACTGCTCCACGTGGTCGTAGGCCTTAACGACCTGTCCGAACGAGCCTTTGCCTATAAGCGAGTCGATTTCGTATCGGTCGAGGAACTTTTCACCATTCTTCACGATGTAATCGTGATTGTCGTCGTCGTAACCGTCATTGTACAGTTTCCTCTCCTTTTTATGGGAGGTATCTTCTTGGGGTTGCGCCGCTCTTCGTTTCTTTTTCGCGTAATACACCTACAAGACACACGACACGTTGAAAGAAATCGATAGGCGGGACGTCGCTAAATCCCCGATTTTTTCCCTTTCGCCGCGAGATTTCCAGTGCATTTACGTCGCCGCCGCCGCCGCCGTTTCCGACATGATTTGTTTTCCAGTTAGACACAACTTTTTCTAATTTAATTTCCCTCAGGATGACGTGATTAAAATTTAGTTCGTATAATTAAAGTTATTTGCATTCCGGAATTAATTTCATTTGGACGCTCTCGAGGTGGAGATTAATAAAACGAATATTTTAAACAATACGAAAGGACGAAGCCCCGTCGCGTCATTAGTGCGGATTCGAAAATTACGCCAGACGAGTCATACGACCGGCTCCAAAAACAACGAAATAGTATACTTCCAGTTCTAAAACAATGAACACCGGACCAAACGACTTGCGACGGTTTCATTTGGAGACCCCAATTAACGCTTACAACTTTGCTAGTAACAGTTTAAAGTTATAGGTAATTTGCACGAGAAGATCAAGCGTTCACCATTTCAAAACCTGAAGTGTACATTTTTACTTGACTCCAGTGACCACTAATTTTAAAAATGCACGATTTATTTATCGGTACTACTGCTATTCGTCGATTTCGAACTCCACTTCCGAAGCGTTTATCCCGCCTGCTTTTACTGTAGCATAACGGCCAGTTAGGGGTCTGTTATAGCTAAGGTTAATGCCTCTGTTATGGTCTCTAGTTTGTGAACAATTATAATAGCAATTACGACACGCGTCAGCGACGAACGGTTCGCCCCAATTAATTAGACATCATCGCGTCGAATTAGCGACTAATTAATTCGTGCACCTCGAAGAACAAAAATAGAAAAAAACGCCGCCGCCGCCACGACGGTGGCGATCACGCGCCGCCAATGTGTTGACTGTCGTTCGCCCCGTCACTTGCCCATAACTTTTACTGGCATCAAGGGTGCGTGCCCTGCATCGTCAAACAGATAATAACTTGGCAACCTAGACGAACTCCCAATATATTACTAATATCGCCCATATATCTTGTCGAGAGAGGGACGAGCTCGCGACGTCTTTCCCACCCCACGAGCCGTCCTTCGGAAAAACTTCGCTAATTGAAAACGTCCGTCGACGAAATAAACAAATTGCAAAAATGATACATTTTCTTCGCAATGCCGCTAATTAATTGAATAATTGGGGCGCCGGATGATCCATTTTTTACGCGGGAAGACAGATGCGCCGCAAGATTACTTTTCCGGAAATTTCTTTTTCATTTCCATTTCCACCTTGACGGATCGCTGCGCCTTTCGCCGCTCGCCGGCGTGGGTGACCCGAGGGGCGTTAAACCCGCGAACCCATACCTAACGACGACAATTTAACACTCACGATAAACCCCAAAACCGTCACAAAACCGTTTGGCATTCAAAAGTTCTTATTTCGTGTTTTAAATACTCCAAGAAGAGTTTGTAACCCAAAAGGCATTAAAGGAAGATTCTCTATTAACTAACTTCTCATTAACAGTACCATCGACGGCCGCCTTCCCTCCTCAACAACCCACAACCTAGCCGCCGTCACTTTTCCGCAGCACCCCGTACCCACAGACAGCGCCAATAATCTTCCGACCAACTCGGAACAACAATGTGAGGTCGTGTCGGCTGTTGCCATGCAATATTAGAGTCGCGACCTTGCTGCATTCGCGAAACGGCGACGGCAAAACACAAGATAATACGAAAAAGAAGAAGGGTAAAAAAGGCGACGTCCGACCGAAACAAAAAAAAAAACGAGAGAAAAAATAAATAAAACCGCCCGCCCCCGACGCGCGGCAACACACGAACCGTCCATCCCATAAATAATTCTCGTTCTTCTGTTGATAGATTATCGTAATGACACTCCGCCGTCACGGTTCAGCCGATTCGGATTCCACGGATTACGCGGCTCGCGGGGGCGGCCGGTGACGTGGGCGGCGGCGGCGATCGACGTCGTAAATACGTCAGGCCCGAAAGAGACACACTTTTCCGAGAAATATGAGCTGGATCTAGCGCCGGATGAGATTTTCTCGTGGATCGCGTGTCGACGCCGCCCCCGCGCCCCGAAAAAAGCGAGAGACGAGAAGAAAAAAACCGAGATATTTTAATTGTGACGGCAACGCCGCCCTCGACGGTGCTCCGTTCAAGGAATTGTTTTGTTTGGGTCGAGATAATGGGAATTCATTATTTGTAAGTGGCGGCGGAACGCTCCGCAGCTTTTTAATTACGGGGGCCCGCACGTCCGTGTTTTCAGTCATATTAATGGGTGGCGAAGGAACGGGGAGAACTATTGCGGCAATTTTCGAAGATGGCGGCGACCGTCCTAATTGCACACTACTAATTATACCGGCTCGTATGCGGCAAGATTTTTACAGGCCGGCTGCGGTTCCGCATACCGGGGCCACTCCGAAAGTTGTCGTTTATTAGACGATTTTTCTCGCCAACAATTCGTTTAGTTTAGAACGACATCGGAGAGGCTAAAACCGGTCGACGCTATAAACAAACTCACCGAAATCACTGATCTAGGGTAACGTCATTTATAAATACAAGCAACAATAAAGGTTCCAAACTAGATCCTTGCTGGACTCTCGACGTACAACAAAAAAATTTGGCGAACGGGTTCGAAGAACACGCGCGATCTTCGATCGGCCGCCCAGAAGACGATAAAAGCCGCACGCCGAGCGCATCCCATCAGCAGCACGCGTCCTCGCCCCTACATATGTAAAACCCCGAAAAACCCCTAGGAAATCCTCGCGGAAATACGGATTTGCCGTCTCGGAAACCCTAATATCCGAATGAGTCACCGCGACCGTCATCTCCTGCCGCAATTTTCCACTTTCCGAAGTGCCATTATTGGGTTTTTTCGCTTGCGCGTCATCGAGTCGAAAACGGTAATTGCACCGTGCCAGACGCCGTTTAACGCCCTATCAACTGTTATGTCCCTGTTTACATATCTTGTAACAACGTCGTCGCCGTACGAAACCCTCCTCCACTTCGGAATGACGGTTCACGGCTAGATGAACGCGTAACGGCCCGTGTTACCGTCAAGACGTCGTAAATTTCGGACTCCGGTGGCATGACGTTCACTACACCCACCTCGTTGATGTGTTTATATGTTTTGATCAGGTCCACGCTGAGCTTCCGCAACGGCGCCGCTGACGAGTCCCTGAAGGTGTGAGGTATTCGCGCCTGCATCGCCTGGATGTCGGCGGGAGGATTCGACATGTGACCCATACCGAGTTGGTCTTCCGCTACCAGGCGCCCGTACAGAGGCACATGACGCTGCCTCAGCGTGTCCCCGCTGCCACTAGATACAGGCACTGAAACAAAAAGACAACACATGTACATCTCTAGGCACAACTTCGCGAAATCTACAGTCACAATCCCTTTCTTATTCATGTATGAGTGCGGCTCGAGCGACGCCCACGACAGACAGACGTACGGAAACGCGCCGTCGCCATTTTCGCATTGGCGTCAGACGTTCGTCAAAACGAGCCGCCACAATACCCCCCGCTCGAAAGTGAAAATCGAAAAACAACCGCTCAGAAATCGCCGGTCTTCGAAAAATCCTCGCTTAACCTGCAAACTGCGCGATAAAATCTCCACAAAGGAAAAAAAGGGGCGTAAATCTTCCCAGCTAGACGTCTCGGCCGCGCTTGGTCCGAGCGTCTGCCCTCAAATCGCGTCTATTCACGGGGCTCTTCCGTTATTAGACGGATGAATGGTGTTATTTACATTTCGGATCATTAATGCATGAATTATGTATGGTGTTATTGACGTCATCGTGGGCCCCGGTAATGGCGGATCCGGCCCGAAAAATGGGGGTCCAATTACCCGCCATGTTCCTCCCGTTACCGTCGTTCCGTTAACTGCCGCATGCATTTAATCCCGCCGCAACTTCGCAGACTCTCGCCGATGTTTTTGCGTGTAAATCAAAGTTTCCAAGTGTTGCGCTTCTTGCTTTAATTTCGACCGAACTGTTGCTGAAGTGAACACGACCCCTGAATTTATGGTGGACCCGGATTTGATTTAATGTTCAATGGGTTTATTGCATTGCAACCGCGCGTTCCGGCTCTTAACGTCCGGGGAACTCTCTTAATATTGATTTACGCGACGCCCGAAACAAGAAAAAAAATTCACCGAGAGGACGTACGAATCATCGTGGTTTCAATTTGGCGCAAGGAGAGAGGACGGCGGAGGATCGAGGACGTTATAAGCATCATTAGTGACGCTCGCAAATATCAAACAACTAAATAACCGGCGTCGCTTCCATCCAGACGCATAAATACGGGCTCGCCGGGACGCGAGCCGCTCTCTCTTTATCTGCATGCACTTAAATTTTTCGATAATTGAAAATTTATTTCGGGAGGCGTTCTGCTTCTTTATTGCGACCGCCGCAACGCCGCTAAGTAACGAACGCAAGGCGAGACGACAGGAGACAACCCGACACGAGACGAAACGACTTATCGCCGGAACTTAAACAACGTGCAACCGCTCGACGCAAAACAACGAATGGCCGAAATGTTGTGCTGACGTCATGCAGCGGCCGCATTTCGCGCCAATTTTCAAAAAGTTGTAGATGTTTTCGCTCCATCTGTTCAGTAAACCGTCCATAGCAGCAACAATAGTGACGTTTCTTTGGCGGACGCAAAACGGTGACTCAAAAATGGAATTAGCGAACAATGTACAATAATATGCCCACTGGTGGCGGCGCTCAGAAATTCGGTTTAGCTCTGGCCGATCGCACCGGCTCGGCTGTTTAAAAACCCTTGCAAACCGGCGTAATCGAATCGTCCCTTGCGTTGACAAAACACAAACGCTCGTTCGTTCAATCAAACAATTACCTCGTAATCCAGGTGCAAATTAATTAAGCGGTTGTGTAAAAACCAGCGGCACGCCGTCGTTATGCACCGAGCTGTGGTGCAAAAAAAAAATTTTCAAGGACACCTTTCAAAGCCGAAGTGCACTTCGCTCCCGATAAGAAGGGAAAAAAATCGGAATCAAGGTCGGTTCAAATCACCGCTTTCGCTCGGTACAGAGGGTTGGAAGAGAAAAAAAAAAGGATGATCCCACACGTATCGATTCGGCGATTTAATAATGCAGGTGATCCGCAGGGAAAAAATACGGCCGCCACGTAAAATATCCATAGTCATCATTTAAAAGTCCGGGCGTTCTGCGTCCTAAAATGTGGACAAAGCAAATTTTCATTACGCGAATAAATAATTGGGAAAGTCGCGACGGTCGTTTTTTAATCGCGCGATTTTTGATTCTTATCTTATCTCGTCCGTAATCCGGGAGAGACGCGTTCCGGCGATATTTCACCGGGATAAAGGACGGCTTTCCAGACGCTATCTCCGGGTCAGATTTGGACGTATTTTTATGAAAGCTCGGTTGCGGGAGTGATCGAAAAAGAACGCGCGCGACGAGCAATTTGTGTGCGAATTGAATAAAAAACATTCGGGAAAGTCGGGAGGGAGAAGACGACTCCCGACGCCCTAACAATAATGCGCTCATTTTTCGCCTCACACTACGCCGATGCTCGAATTCTCTCGCCGCCCATAATTGTCCCTATTTATCATCATTACATTTAAATGGCCCCTGACGAAAATCACGATAAGTACCCGACAATAAGCAAAGTTTTATCTAACGCGAGCTCCCGTTTAGAAAACTTGCTCGGCATTGTACATTTTAATGTAAAGTAACGATCATAACAGCGGCATAAAACAGTTCTCCAGCAGACGTATTCAATGGACCGAATGTCGACCGCAATCATTTCGACATTTTTACATTACGCCCTTCAGCGTCGGTTTCAACCCCATTTCCTTATCTCTCTACGAGGTATGCAATATGTATATGCCGCCACGACGACTCTCTTCTAGCGCAAGAAAAAACGCAAATAATTAAACGACCAAGGTACGGTCTATCATTAGCGTAACCGTCCCAGGTGACACTCGACAAGAAACAAACAGGAAGGATGCATTTTGTAATAGATCGTATCGGAATCCGACTCCCCTGGGGCCGCTGTCCGTCAAAGTCGGATGCACTTCTACGTCAGCTCCTATACGTTCAATTAAACGATTGACAACTGCAGAGAGAAGCTCCCGCCCAGGAAACAGCGAAATAAGGATCGACGTTCCAGTTACGGCACAGATCAAGCCTTCCGGACAAGTCGGACCGAAGCTGCTACACTACTCCGATCTGCTTGTGCTAACCTACTGTTTGAGTTTAGTATGATAAACGTGTCCGATTTAATTAGAGTCGGACGACTCATGACTTCCTAAAAACTCGCTGTGGTCCATTTTAACGTGCAACAAAAACACAAGTAACAAAACCGTACCGAAGCAAACTTGCAAACAACACATCGTCGACCACATGGTGCAAATCTAATCAGATCAATCCGATTAGCAGAAGCTACAAACAGCAATCTCTCGAAACTGCATTTAACCGAATTAACCGTATCGTATCACAATATTGCAGCAGATAATTTCATCCCTGTATACCCTATTACGTCATTAATCCGGCCAAACCAAGCGCTAACCTCGACGTGTAGCGCAACACTGTTGCACGAATCCGGGATTTAAAACCCGACCTCCTCCATCGTCGAAACGAAAAAACCCAACGATCCGCCCCCGCACCACGCAAATTCCACCCCCTCTTTTTTTTTGTTTTCGACTTGCCGTGATTAACGACGCGTTATAAGGTGTCGAAAATCCCCCCATGAAAATCGACGGTAGCGTGGCGGCGGGAGAGAAGAATCAGGTGGGAGGCCAAAAGTATCGATCGGCTGCGAAGAAGGAAGCAGAGGCACACGTCTGGCCGGCATCGTCCTCCGCCTCCGCTGTCTCCGCCGCTCTTCTCACGCCGTCTGGAATGTCAAGAGGTCGCGAGCTTTTACATCACGACCGCCAACTATGCGCCCATTATGCATGCTCCATTATTTATCGGGAGGAGATCGCCTCCGTCTTCTCCCCCATCTGCGAGGGAGGTCAAAAACGCGCGCGAGGGGAGACGAGCTGAAAAAGCTCGCCACATGCGACACACACATACGCACGCAGCACCGAAAGCTCCCTGGAAGGCTTTTAGGAAGTTCGACGACCGCAAGCCCCTATCCTTTAACGATCACATTAATAATTACGATCGGCCCTGAAGCGCCATTAGTGAATAATAATAGGTCCGACTGCATAACTAAGAACGGCCGATCGAATGAATTATCGATGGTAGCCACGTCATTAGCGTATCAATAAACACAATGTGGATTCGGATTCGAATTCGAACTCTCCGCTCTCTGCCTTCCCCTACTTCGCAGATAACCCGAGGCATCCCCAAGACCTGAGTATCCGAGCAACGTTTCGTATGAGAGACTACCGAAACCACCTTCGATACATTATTATTAAGACGATTCTTATTAAAGCAAACGTGGACTTTTGACTTTTTTTTTTCCAATGCAACCGGGCAAGTTTATTAAATAAGAAAAAAGAAACCGAAGGCAACAGTTGTCCCGGGCAGTCGAAGTCGTCTCGGCTCCCAATCATCCTCGACAACAATCTCCTCGTACTAATCCAGACCGGATTGACGTGGTGCAAGTCCGGTAATAGAATTGTCGCTCGACTGCACTTGTATAGCGTTTGGTCTCTATAACACACTCCGACCTATATAACAACAAGGAGACTTATCACTGCAACCCCTCCCCCGTCCGCCCCCTCGTCGTCTTATTTTTCCCTCCTTCAATTTCCATCCATTCCGACTCGACGACAGCCGCCCCATTCTGAACCGCAACCTATAATGACAACACATCTGCGGTCTGAATACCTAGTTCCGTCGGACGAGACCGCAACTTTAAATCGCTTCCAATTAAACTTTCCTTTTGCGTTCGATAAAACGACCGTAATCCCGCTGCTGCACCGGCGGCGGCTCTATTTATCGCAGGAAAACAGTTTTTCTAATCTTGCACCGGAATAATCCGGGTTACGCCCGGACAGCTGTCAAATGCGAGCACCTGCTCCACGAAAAATTTTTCATCGGTGCAGCGACACCGAAAAAACGGGGATAGACGTCACATCGACGTCCGATTATAGGAGAGGTGAAACATCGCCGCTTGGACACCGGCACTCATAAATATTTAACGCAGACGTGTAAAAAGGGAGACGGAAAAAATTCAAATTCGAATTAACGAGGCGACGTCAGGAGGTAAACATTTTTTTTTCTTCGGTTCGACACCATTTAGTCCAAAAACTGAAACTCGGTAAAATCAAACAGAGAACTCTAGACGCGGCGCGACTTAAGACAAAACAAATGCCTGTCAAGTCAAAGAACACTTTGA